AATTCCCATATGCAATGGGGTAAGGGGGAGGTATGGTAGTAGGCTGCCCCCAATGCCAGGTTGAGAGTAGCTTCCGTGGAAGACCTCCGGCAGTCATAAAATTAAAAATATAGATAAAGTGCAATGCTATAATTAAATACATAAATACAGAGTTGAAAAATATTCATATCAGACATTAATATCATAATATCATATGCGCGTTTGTACTTGGGCAGTATCCCTGCAAATAAATCCATACGAAAAATCTCTGCTATAGACAGAACGTAAGACCCGACTAAATTTAAAAGTGAAGAGATGTTACCAAAGTCAACGAAAGCAAGCCCAGTTCTAAGCCTTCATAAATACCAATAATAGAAACGTATAAAAAGTAGAAGGTTACCCACACTACTCGACTACCCTAGTTTGAGTCTCCATACTTTCCTATCAGAGGTCATGTCCTCGTAAGGGCTAAATCCTCAAATCAGATCTCAAGCAGTCTTCCCACTTCTGCCTTGGTCGTCCTCACCTTCTGGCACCATCGACTGTAATCGACTCTACCCTCCTGACCGTATCCGACGGTAGTCGCCTAAGGACATGCCTAAACCACCGTAGTCTTCCCTCCCTCAATTTTTCGGAAACATGCACCACCCCCAAGGACATCCTAATAGCAGAGTTTGTTGTCATATCCCACAGAGTCCTACCGCATGTCCATCGAAGCATTCTCATTTCTGCGGCCTCTATCCTCCTTATATGATCCTTCTTGGTTGCCCAACATTCTGATCCATACAACAGTGCTGGTCTTATTGCCATTCTATAAAATTTTCCCTTAAGTTTTAGAGGCACCTTCTTGTCACACAAAACTCCAGTAGCGGCCCTCCACTTTAGCCATCCCACCTTTATACGGTGTGTAACGTCATCTTCTACACCCCCATCTTTATGTATCATAGACCCTAGGTACTTGAAACAATCCTTTGAGGGGAGAACGTGTCCTTTTATGCATACTTCTACATCTTCATCGTTTTGGTCCCCATTGAAGTTTGAACATAAATACTCTATCTTTTCAATATTGATCCTTAGACCTTTTTTTTCCAAAGCAGTCTTCCAGGTAGCCAGTCTACTATTCAACTCAGATTTTGTTTCAGCAACTAGGACAATGTCGTCAGCGAAAAGCATACACCATGGTACACCGTCAGGTGTCGCATAATAGATGTCGTCCATAATCAAGGCGAAGATGTAAGGGTTAAGAGCTGACCCCTGGTGGAGTCCGATTTCCACTGGGATTGCCTCAGTGTCACCAACTGTAGTCCTGACGTGTGTAGTAGATCTACAATACATATCACGAATCGCCCGGATATAAGCAGTTGGGATCCGTCTCATTTCCAAAGTCTTCCAGATCGTATCTCGGGGAACGCTATCATAAGCCTTCTCAAGGTCAATGAATGCCATGTGAAGATCTCTAGACTTTTCCCTATATTTCTCCATAAGTCGGCGAAGTAGATGAATCGCCTCCGTGGTAGACTTGCCTGGCATAAAGCCAAATTGATTTTTCGAAACCCTAGTAACTTGTCTCAACCTAACCTCTATCACCCTTTCCCATAGCTTCATGGTATGACTGAGTAGTTTAATACCTCTGTAGTTACCACAACATTGGGGATCTCCTTTATTCTTATAGATTGGTATCACCGTGGACTCTCTCTCCACTCCTCTGGCATCTTGGCAGTCTCTAAAATAATATTAAAGATGTTGGTCAACCACTTAACTCCCTCTTCTCCTAGGGCCAACCACACAGTGATAGGAATTTGATCACGACCGACAGTGATAGCAAAGTCAAAGATGGGAAGAAATGGGGGGCACCGTCCAACAGTATTTTTCAACAAAGGGGGCACCGAACCAATTTTTTTTTTATTGAAATAGGGTCAATTGCATTTTAGTCCCTGCATACTTTAGGATATTTATAAGATTAGTCCTTAAACTTTAACTATAAATACCCTAACCCGTTTAGCTTCAAAATCATCACAAATCATTTTTTCTCCCAATACTAGAGAGCTTCCTTGTGAGTAGTGAGTGTTTTGTAAACACCTGTAAATTTTCTCTCTTAGTAAAAGATTTACAGCAGTATGAAGACGTAGGCATAATTGGCTGAACTCTGTTATCAATTTCGGGTATTATTTTTCCGCTTTTATTTCACATTCTCACTAATATGATTATAGAGAAATTACTTATACTCGTTTATTTCCCAACATTTTCCTCTTAGCAATCCAGTTACCAATGATGTGGGTTGGGTGATGAGTCTCCGACTTTGTTTAGGGAAGCAAAGCGATATTGAATTTTGTGAGGTCCCTAAATTCGAGCCCACCATATTTTTTTGAACTGTATAGTTCCTCCCATCGGCACCAATGTAGTCCTCTATTCTTCTCGGACTTTTGCCACCAGAATCTCTTCACGATTCTCTCTAGTTCATCACATAGAGTATTTGGCAATAGGAAATAGTTCATCGTATATTGAGGCAACGCCTGTAACACTGATTTGATAAATACCTATTTCCTCTATGTGATAGCATCCTTGAACTCCACGAGTGTGCTCGAGACCATAATTTCTCCTTCATTGAAAGAAAATCTTATTTTTTACCTCGTCCTGTCAAGATTGGTAATTCTAAATATTTCTCTCGGTTTGAAGTGCTGAAGACACCAAGTATTCGACGAACATCACTTTTATTCGAGTCAATCACGCTCGTGCTGAAAAAAAGACCCGACTTGTCAAAGTTTATTACCTATCCTGAACTTTGGTCGTATATTTGTAGCATATTTTTCATTTCACTCGTTACTTTTGCTTTTGCTTCACCGAATATTAAACAGTCGTCCACGAACAATAAGGGAGTGATGTATGGGCACATTTGTTCAATTTTACTCATTGCAATGTATCAAGATTTGCTGCTTGACGGAACAATGCTGATAGACCTTCACTACAGATCAAGAATAGATATAGGCTCAATGGGTCTCCTTGTCTTAGTCCTCTTTGAGGGTGGAAGGGCTCTATTGTCTTGCCATTTATCACGACTGAGCATGTAACTTTAGAAACACACCGGTTAATGATGTTTATCTAATTCTCTGAAAATCCTTTTTTTCCATCATATGTCAAAGAAATTCACATTCCACTCTGTTGCGTGCCTTGATCATGTCTAGTTTCAATGCGAAATAACCTTTTTTTCTCTTCCATTTTTCTTTGCAAATGGGTGTAGCAACTCATATGATGCGATGATGTTGTTTTTATCAGCCTTCCCGATACAAATGCGCTTTGTGCCTAATCTATGCACAACTGGAGTAATCTTGCATTCGATTGACCAATATTTTTTTATACTATTTTGTAAATAATGTTGCATAGACTGATCGATCTGAATTGGGTTAGCTTGGTCGGTGCCCTGACTTTGGGAATTAAGACTATGCGAGTCTTATTTACCTCATCCATGTTGTGCATCTCATTTAATAGTCGAATACAATACTCGACTATCTTAGGTCCTACTATGTGCCAAAAACATTGATAGAAAACCTCACCTATTTTGTCTTCTTCAGATGCTTTAAGTGGACTCATAATTTTTACTCCTCTGATACATAATGTTAACTTTGTATAAAATATCAATATTGCATTTATTTTTTACTTTTATGATTTGTTATATTTTCTTAACTAAAATATATTTAAGTATCAACAACTAAAAAAATAGAATAATAAATTAAAATTTCACAACTAAAAAATAGGATGAAAATAATGAGGTTTTATGGAAAGGATGTAATTATGGAAATAATAAGATTAAATATATCATTTAATATCTTATTTTATAATCATCTCTCCCAAACCACTGAATTTTTCAACATTTTCATCTTCAGCTTATTTTGTACAATTAACTCTTTCAAAAAAGTACTTACAAAACACTATAAATGTAAGATTTAACTATTAATAAATTATTTATGCTCAAATAAACTAAAATCTCTTCAAAAAATTGTTTATCAAACACCTCTATATAATTATAATCTAAACAACATCATTAATTTACTTAAACTCACAATTTCACGCAATGGAGAATGTCTAAAAATTCTCATTTTAGTCTATATACTTTTGTTTCTTACATTTTGATCTCAGAGTTATAAAAAAAGGAGAGTAAGATGATCCTCAATTACAGACAACTTTGTCAATTACCATAATATTCACCCCATTTCTTTAAATAATTTTTCATGATAATCATTTTCCTAATTTATTCTCAGAAACATTATTATTCTAGTTTAGCTCATTCAGGTAATATAAAGTTCTAATTTATATTATGTTAAAATTTGAAATTTTATTGCTTATTTCAATTTAAATTTACTTGAAAATAAATGTATAATTATAGTTTTAGTCATTGATTATATCTAAATTTAATAATCTTCTTTCAATTTTTATTTGACATAATTTGATCATTATTCTTTTATAATGTCATGAGTAATTTCAAACTAACAACGCTGTTAATTTTTGTTGTTAAATGATAAGATGATTTTTTCGCTATTATTCGATCACAAGAATAAAATCACATGAAAAATTATTCAACTTGTTCGATTAATAATAATTTTATATATTAATTGAATACTTAAAGATATTTAAGAAAATTTCAGATCATTATTGTAATTTTTGTTGTGTTATAAATTTGGATCAACTGATGACATTAGAAAAATAGAATTAAATAATGTCAAATTAAAATAAAAGATTTAATCGTAAGATTCAGCATGGTAGAAGGACTAATAATGAAATTACGCCATAAAAATAAAAGAAGAGAGTCGGCATCAAATGGAGAGAAAGGAAGCCATTTAAGCCATAAAAAAGAAGAAGAAGAAAAACTGAATTCCCCAAAAATAAAATTTAATTTGTTTTTTTTTTAAATAAGAAGAACAATAGTACTATCTTTTTAGAATTACTAATATAAATTTTATTTTTAAATTTTATTTTGTGTGTAGAAGAGAAAGGGACTCTCTTCTGGTGGCATCCTGTTTCTGTCCCACCAATCGTCTTCTTCCTCTGTTTAGCTTTCCCTTTCATTTTTCCTTTCCTTGCCTTGCCTTCCCATTTCCATCTGCCTTCTTTCCTTCTTCCCCTTTCCGTTGGTTTCTCTCCTTCTTATCTTCAATCTCGCTTGGTTTCTGTTTTTAGATTCATAAATAGGTTGGTTTTGGGTGGGTTGATTTGGTCAGTTTACTTTTTTCTTTTTTAATTTTTTTGGGTCAATCTGTAATCTTCTCGTTAACCCTTTTTGATTGTTATAAATATTATTACTATTCTTTCAATATTTTTAAGCTTTAAATCTGGTTTTGTATTACCCTTTTTAAGGGGTTGGGTGAATCTGAAGTTTTTTTTTAAAAAAAATTCCGATGAGGAGAGGTAGAGGTGCTGCTGCTGCTGCTGCCGCCGCAGCAAACGCCGTTGCTACGAAACCGGCACTACTACCCAGCGGATCTATTAAAGAACCGAGATACAGAGGTGTTAGGAAAAGACCATGGGGCAGATTTGCGGCCGAGATTCGAGACCCTTGGAAGAAGACCAGAGTGTGGTTAGGGACCTTCGACTCAGCGGAGGATGCTGCTAGGGCTTACGATGCGGCGGCGAGGTCACTCCGTGGACCCAAAGCGAAAACAAATTTCCCCTTAAATTCATCAAATCTCCCGGCTTTTCCTTTCGACACGAATCATCATAACAACAACGGGTTCATCGACCAGCACCGGTTATATACGATGGGTAATTTTCATGAGCACGAAGTGAATCCGCAGAGACCGACGAGGAGTGGCATGAGTAGCACGGTGGAGTCGTTTAGTGGACCGAGACCGGCTCAACCACCGCAGCAGAAATCGACTGATTTTGCGGTGGTTTCAGCTAGGAAGTACCATCCAAGGACGCCGCCGGTGGTGCCGGAGGATTGTCAAAGTGACTGTGATTCATCGTCATCGGTTGTCGACGACGGAGATATCGCCTTGTCTTCGTGCAGGAAAACTTTTTCTTTCGATCTCAACTTTCCGCCGTTGGATGAAGATGATGATCTCCAGTGTACCGCTCTATGTCTCTGAACACGGTGATAGTGATTAAATGACCACTGCGTCGGTGGTCAATTATTAAATCTTCTCTTTTTTAAAAATTTAGCTCTTTTTAAGCCGGGGAAAGAAGGGAAAAAACATGAGACATGGTTAAGATGAAATGGTCTTAATCTCTACGAGTATGAACTTTGAACCCTTTGATTTTTATCAAATGATGATATCTTTGTTGTTTGAAATATGATTATGATGAAGAAGATGATGATTTAGGGTTTGTAATGTTATCAAGTCCCATTAACTTATTGTTATAGATCTTTGTATAAATCCCCCACAAATGGATTACGTATACCATTTCCTGCATTTCTTTGCTTCCATTTGCTCTTCAGGAAGAAAATAACATGTTAAAACATGCAGAAAAAGATTAAAATGGAAGAAGAGGATTTTTCATTTCTGCCATTCATTGATGAGTTAATATGTGGTTAGGAAGATAACAATGATGAAATAGTGTTTTGTTAAGTTATTATCAGATCTGTAATTAGGTTTCTTGTGTCCCCCATTTTGTTTACCTTTGATTAGTTTGATTCCTCTATCTTGTGGAAAAAGAAACAGCTTTTGTTCTTCAATCTTCTCTCTTTTCTTGTGTTGAATCTTCATTTTCACTTTTTTGTGCTTTGTCTGTATGATTTGATACGATTGTGAATATAATCTAGTTTCATGTAATTTATCGAATATGGGGAAGTATAACACTAGATAGATCTTCAACTTGGTGCATGTTTGATAACGGGTGATAGTAAATATGGTAGATGGTTGGGATTTTTGCAATAAATTAAGTGTCAAGAGAATTTATCATACCTTAGCTGTTAATCAATTGAATGTCCCAATTTCAAAACTTTCATCATACCCTCTTTGCATCTAATAGAACAAAAAAAGAAGAAAAGATAAAGATCATTGGATTTGGACATTATTGTAGATTGTTAAATCATCTTTGGTTGCATTGGATGGCACCTTGAAATCTGATCTAACTTCATGGAATTTTCCAATTGAAACTGTTTGGTGTTCGATTTTGATTTTTGAAGCAAGTTTCTTACTGGGTTTTGACTGACGATGACATGTTTTCAGGATCGAGATGTTTCAACGATGCTTCCCATATGGGCATATGCCTTTGGAGGTTCATGCATCATTCATTTTCTTGTCCTTTTCCTTTCATTTTATTTTCCCTTCATCTTGATGTTCTCTTTCTTGTTTTCAAATCAAAAGTTTTGATTATTGAACAAAACCCTAAAGAAGTTGGTGAAATCTTGAAGCAAGAGCTAAAGTTGATAATGGAGACTGGGAAACCAATCATATCTCTGTGTCTGCCGGTTCAGCTGCACCAATCATATCTTTTGTGACTATTTTTCTTTTGTCATATACAATGTCTAAATGGGCTGCACCCAAATTTGGGCCTTGATTAATATATATGCATCCTATAGAAGAAGATTTATCAAAGCCTTGGTGAAGTTGGATGATTGGTATATAGTTCTTTTCCCAATAATGCAAAGAACATGAAGAGAGAACAAATTCACTTAAGAAAACAGGACAATAGTGATCCCAAATGGGTGCAAATTTGATATTGAGGAAAATTCCTAGCAGGCAACTGTTTAAGTAGTTCACTAGTAGTTCCCCGCTGGCAAATTTGTTTTGTTCCTTGAAGTTTCTTCATAGGTCTGAAATAAAAATTTAGTTCTAATAACCATTTTACCCCTGTACTAGGCTGGATTTTGGGATTTAAGTTCTCTACTCTTATTTGATATATAGTTTTGCCTTAGTGGTAGGGTCAAATTGATAAACATTGTTGCAATCGTTAAAGGGATTATGTAGATTTTTCATTTTATTATTATTTGCTCTCACTCTTAAGGTCATGTGTAAACTCATTCAATCATATTTAATCAAAAATAAATTTACATATTAACTGAGTGCTCAAGTTTATTTTTTAAAAAAATTCATGGCATCACTTATTGCAGTAGCAACCAATTGTTTTATCAATTTGGAGTTACTAATATAGGGACTAAAAATAAAATTAGACCAGAATTTTGCTGACAGATTTGGTGGAATCTTTTCCATCGATTAAGCCGAGTAGCCTTCCATTTTTAAGTCTTTTGTTCAACTTGCCTCATTGATGATCCGTAAACGACAAGCTTAATCATGATTCTGCAAAACTAAGACCACTCGATCTTAGGACCAAAAACCCAACATCATATTATGACACAAATGCTATACGAGTCCTTGTGTGTCGGATTTTTTATTAGCTTGTCCCACTTGCGATGCTATGCAGCATACAAGGCCCTATGATTGGGCGGTTCAGCCGTCGTTGAGCAGTGTTTCGGCCTTGTCTCTCGTTTGTTTGTCGGGGTTCGTGATAAAAAAAAATGGTCTGAGGAAGTTCTTTGATATGTTTTGTGATGAAAGTGAGACTGTTAGGAAAGAGTACACCGTTCACCTCAATGTGACAGGGTATCCTGTTTCATGGAGTTATGCTCGTGGCTCTCCCGCACAACCGTCTTCTTCCTCCTTTGCGTCCTGTTCCAACTCATCTGCAACCTCCAAGTTCTCCGGCTCCTCGATTTTGCTGATCAGGTTTTCCATGTCGAATCCGAGGTTGGTTCGGTCTTGGCCGAACACGTATATGATCCAGTGACGGATCCAAAAATTAAAAAATGAGAGTCCAAAATTTTATTTTATTTTTCTTAAAAATAATAGGTGTATAAAAATTTTAATTTTTTTTTTCTTTTACACATTAAGTTAAATTTAAACACATTTTTAAAATAGTCACGGATAAGATCAGACACTACTTGAAGATAGGATCAGGCACCACTTGAAGATCATCAGCCCTGGTGTCAATGTGGCATATGTTTGTGCGACGTTAGACTCGTGTCATCCTGTGGTGCGAACGAACTTTGAGACACCGACCACTCCGGCCATCCATGGCCGCCAAGCGTTTCGTGATGTGGGTATGAATGGTGACGATGCCGGTGATGAAGATGACGACTTGGTATAAAAAGAATCAAATTAGTTTTTTTGTTCCATTGATGAATGATTCTTTTTATGACAGTGACCAATTTGACATTGATCAAATATTTGGCATTGAATTATCTCTTGAATATTGCCCAATACATCCCAAACCTGTACTCACGTTCAGAAACGAATCTTTAGGTAATCTGCTGTTTTGCTCTATTAACAACTTTTACCAGCGTTGCGGATTGTCTTAGAAAAGATGAGTTAATATACGGTTAATATACGGTGTTATCGAATATATTAAAAGATATTTAATAAATTTAGTTTAGCGTTATTGGAAATGTTGAATAATAATAATGTAGTAGGTCCAAATCATGAAGAAATATTAAAAAATTTGGCAACTGACAAACTTAACTTGTCGGTTTGTGTCGATCCAAATTAAAAATGTATCGATCCATATCAATATAATAGGTAAAAATATGACAAAATCGGTCACGAAAAGACAATACCGGTAAAGCCCTACCGGATATATTCAAAGTTTCGATACTTTAATATAAGTATCGACACTGTGAATTTAAAAGAGAAGCAGTTTTAGCGCCTATAAAGTGTCGATACTTTATAAAAATGTATCGATCCACAACGATATAATAGGTAAAAATATGATAAAACCGGTATCAAAATGATAAAACCGGTAAAGCGCTACCGGATATATTGAAAGTGTCGATACTTTAATAAGTACGTGTAATAAATTATCGATAATTTCAAAGAAATAGGTAATTATCCTTTCGAAAATATCGGCACCTGATATAAAAGTATCGACACTTTGATAGTTGTGTCGATTAAATAAAAATAACATATTCGATGAAAATATAAAGGACATAGCTAAATATCCTCTGAAAATAGATAGAATGGACAAGATTTTGAAATCGAAGCGTAATTGTTGCTGCATTTCAGAAGGCGTTTCTAAAGCGAAGTTTGTTTGTTGTTGCTGCAGTCGAATCAAAAAGTATGTTGTCGAAACCCTAGTTTTTTATTATTATAGTAATCGCAAATAGAATTTTTATGTGTTGTTTGGGGTTTTGGAGTAAAGAAGCATTTGAGACCGATTACAGGTAGAAAGTGATATTCAAGGTAAAATATAAATGTCGATACTTTTATTAAATATTATAGGTAGAAAATGATATTATAGGTTGTATAAATGTGCCGACATATTTTGTAGTGGCCATTCAAATTCTTTTGAAGAAAATCGTTTTACCACAAGAGTAGTTATCTATATTTGTATATTGAATAAAGTGTATGTAACAAGTATTTGATTTGATTTGCGTAAACTGATATATGAAGGAAAAATGAAGTCAATGGGTGGAAAAATTGTTGGTAGCGCAGATGACTTTGAAATAGAGGCCGAGACTCGAAAGCAACCAAAGGGTAGATATATGTACTTCTAGTAAGTATCAATGTCTTTTTGTTATTATTGTTAAAATGATAATTGGATTAAAGTATTTAAGAACTTTAAATTGATTACAAATTTTAAATGTTAACAATATGGCCGAATGCAAAAGGATGAAGGAAGATGGCACACAGAGCGGTTTGGTATGTAAAATGAAATTGACATTGAGTATTATTTAGTGTTAATGTATTGATTAAGAAATGTTTATGCTTAATATTAGGTGACAAAAGATGTGAGGTCCAAATGGAATTCGATGAGTGATGCTAAAAAGGAACCTTACATCATACAGTCAAGGAATGATAGTAAAGAATACAAAGAACGGAGGAAATCACATGAAAATAAGGTATTCATTAAACTTGTAAATACGTTGATACAAAATATATAAGAACTATAACATTATATATTGTTAAAAAATGTAGGAAGTGTCGACAAGGTGCAACATTAAAATGGTGAATTCATTAATTAAACACCTTAAGGAGAAGAGTCAGTTGAATGTGCTGGGAGAAATAGGTTTTGGATCGTTGGTAGGAGTAAGGGATCAACCTATTCAGAGGGAATTATGTCGATCCTTGATGACGCAATTTGATGTCAAACAATGTATTGGTAAGTATGGTGATTTTTCATTTCCTCTCGGGATCCCATGTGCTGCAGCCGTATTGGGGGTAGAAAATGAAGGCAAAAGTGTTGTAAAAGTCTGTAAGAGTAAGAACTGGAAATCACTTGCCTCCAAATATGGTTTAAAGAAGAAGGTGACAAATGTTGAACTTGAAGAGGAAATAAAAAGTGGATCTTA